ACTCAAGAGGGCGCCAGGCAATTAATGCCAATAAATGGGAAGTTCCTGAAAAAATACTATCCCTAGTATGTTCAGGATAACCCATTTACCGGGAAGTTCCTTGAAGAATATTACACTTAATATTCTAGAGGATAACCCAAAATCATTGTCACCACCAAAATCCCTCACTGATCAATTTCAATTGACAGTGAGTCCACCAAAAACGTTTTTCTGGCCCTCTTGATTCTCTCCATGAACAAGAGGTCCACTTTCAGTTCGGAGTCCCTTTTCGATAAACGAAAGAACTCCTTCCCTTTTTCTCTTTGGTTAAACCTTGTTCATGGTTATAACCGGAGTTGAAAATTTCACTTCGATAAACGAAGAACTCATCTTCAGTTTAGATAACCCATCCTATAAAAGGCAAGTTTATCTAAATTTTCCAGATTCTCGGAGTGGACACCCCACTTCTAGTTTCTTCTTCGCTGGAAATAGAATATAAAATTCTTCCTTTCCAGAATCAGGGAATAGAATATAAAATTCTTCCTTCCTTGTCTGTTGGGTTCGCCTTCACCCTAAAAGAAGACCGGGAAATAGAATATAAAATTCTTCCTTTCCCGCACCAACCTTTTCTAAGAATCTATCAATCTAGGATTCATCCTAGGAAGTTTATCCCGAATCCTAAGCAGGGATAAGTCTGCGCCTAACACGCGCTGCCGGTTTAGTCTTTTTCCGCACAAAAAGACACCAGAGTCTGATTCTGGGGTATTTTATCCTGAAACCTAAGCAAGGATAAGTCTGCGCTTAACCTGCGCTGCCGGTTAGTTCTTAACCGTTAAAAAGAACACCCGTCCACATATTCAACATTGTGGCAGGTCGTCATTAATAACACCAAAATCCATGCCTTACACGCATGGGGAATGTCATCCTGAATCCTAAGAAGGGATATGCCGACGCCTAACACGCGTCGCCGGTTTAGTCTTTCGCCGTAGAAAAAGACACCAGAAGACCAGTCTGGGGTATTTTATCCCGAAACCTAAGTAGGGATAAAGTCAACACCTAACACGTGTTGCCGGGTAGCCTATTCCCGTAACAATGGCGAAGTCTATGTATTCGACATCATAGCACGAAGTCTAAGAGAATTCATTCTCTTAGCACAACGTTACATGCGAACGGAGTTAGACAATCCGCATGCTAGCCCGACTCAAACGGTAGTCGGTAAAGGCTAATCAAACCCGTTGAAGGCTGGGGGTTAGCCAAAAATCCTAAAGTCAACACCTAACACGTGTCGCCGGGTAGCCTATTCCCGTAACAATGGCGAAGTCTATGTATTCGACATCATAGCACGAAGTCTAAGGGAGTTCATTCCCTTAGCACAACGTTACATGCGGAACGGATTCCGACAATCCGCATGCTAGCCCGACTCAAACGGTAGTCGGTAAAGGCTAATCAAACCCGTTGAAGGCTGGGGGTTAGCCAAAAATCCTAAAGTCAACACCTAACACGTGTCGCCGGGTAGCCTATTCCCGTAACAATGGCGAAGTCTATGTATTCGACATCATAGCACGAAGTCTAAGGGAGTTCATTCCCTTAGCACAACGTTACATGCGGAACGGATTCCGACAATCCGCATGCTAGCCCGACTCAAACGGTAGTCGGTAAAGGCTAATCAAACCCGTTGAAGGCTGGGGGTTAGCCAAAAAATCCTAAAGTCAACACCTAACACGTGTCGCCGGGTAGCCTATTCCCGTAACAATGGCGAAGTCTATGTATTCGACATCATAGCACGAAGTCTAAGGGAGTTCATTCCCTTAGCACAACGTTACATGCGGAACGGATTCCGATAATCCGCATGCTAGCCCGACTCAAACGGTAGTCGGTAAAGGCTAATCAAACCCGTTGAAGGCTGGGGGTTTGCCAAAAATCCTATGAGTATTATGGTCAATCATTTCAAACGTGATGAGGAATCATAATAAAGATAAAGATAAAAACCAATTCCACTAAAGAGAATCAAATGTCAAGGTTTTCAGCAAATAAAATCATACATCAAGCCCATGGCTAAGAATCTGCTGACTGAATTCAGATAACTTCTCGTCATAAGAGCGTCTAAGCTCCTCCTGCAACTCAGCTCTAACAGACTCTTCGTTCGCAGCTAAAGTCCTCACAGCATCCTCCTCTGTCTCAGCCAGTCTCTGCTTCAAGGACTTCAGCTCATCAGATAAAGCAGCATTTGCTTGCTGATTCTGCATCTTTGTGTCTTCCTTCTCACGGAGTTCTCGTCGGAGCTGATCTATCTGAGAATCAAGCTCCTCGAGGAAAGAAGATCTAGTGGCGAAATCAGCCTCAACTCGATCTATGCGGTCCCGCTGCACCTGAATCTCGAGCTCAGCAACCATCCGAGTACTGCGCCATGTCTGTAAGCGAGCATCCAACTCGGCAGCAACGAATGAAGAGGCACCTGTATCCCGGAGCTCATGAAACATCTGAAGCTCACGCTCTAAGCGATCAAGGTCATCAACCATAGCCGTCGCTAGATCCGGACATCCTATGTCCCTAATCAAGTTTATCTTGGAATCGAGGTAGGGCTTAAATTCGGGCTAATCTCTTCCGCCTAGCAGCAGGGACAATAATCGAAGGTCTCGCCTGGGAAGGGGGGCGGAACTCTTCATCCTGGTCAACTGTGGTCCCTGAAACATCAAACCATAGTCAGTTTCAATATTTCTGGAAGATGGAAGGAAAAGATGAATAGCAAACCTCGCTCGGAAAAGTCTTCATAACCTTCAGGATCTCCCCCTGAAGCCTCGTCTGCGGAATGAAAGGTCTTCTTTCCCTCTTCATCAATCCGACGAGTCTTGTTCCGTGTCCTCTGTGATCGGGCATTTTCCCAAATCCTACGGGAATCAACCTGAGAAGCTTCCTCGGCCTCTAACTCTGCAATCGGCTTCACGGGGATAGTCTTGTTGGCTGCTAACAACCACTTGCAGCTTAAGAAAGTGAGGTTCAACTGCCGATCAGTACTCGGGAGACTGAATTTAGCACCAGTACAGCCAGTCACGGTCCACAACCACGCACGGAGACCATCTACCAAACCGCCGTGGGCCCGAAGCTGCTGACGAGGATTCCCGACGTAAAGCTGATCGTAGCCAAACTGACGAGCGAATCGACAGGGTAGATATGGCTCTATGAAGCACTGATCCCTCACCCGAAAAGTCAGATAACCTGGCCTAATGTTCACCAGCCAGTTAAAGCAGCCAATGTCCAAGTGAGTTCGATACTCTCTCGGCCTCTCCTCATCTATCAAACAATCGCCGTATCGACCGGAGAACAACGGAAAGCAAGTGGAAAATGTCCAACACTTGTGGACCTGCAGCTGTTGTCTGATGTCAGAAAATCCGCGCCCCTCCCACTTGCCGTTCTCAAGCAACTGTAGTAAAGGAACGGAATGATCTGTGGCGCTCGGTACCGACATCATATCGGAACGGTGAAGGACGAACCAAGCCATCAAGTAAGTGTACGGGAGCTCCGTCTTAATGGTGGGAATCTGACCCGGCAAATCACTTTCCTTCCGTGTAAAGGCACCAGAAAGCTGTCGAAGTCCTCGGTGAATGTTAGCCACCATCACCGGAAGAAGTGAGAGTTCTTTCTTGTAGGCGAGCTGAACTGCTGGATAGAGCACTTCCAAGGGCAAGGCATCGCCAGACTGATATGGAACAACGCACTTCTTCAACCAGATAGCGAGATAACCGGCAAGAAGAGTCATTGGTCGAATCGGTGCGGTAGCATGCCACAAGAATGATTTGAACTTGGTCCCTGCAGGAAAGCCACCCTCAGAACTGCTAGTGGTATAAGAATGAGAGCCAATCTTCTTCAGCAGATTGTTCACCCCTGAGGGAGTAAGTGGAGCCAACTCACAAATAGCCTCGCCAGAATTACTCTCCAGATTCTTGAACAAATAATTGGCAAACTGCTTCAGACTCACGAATGTCTTAGTCCTCTTTGCTAAAGGCTCAGACTGCGCCAAAGCTATATGATAGTGGCAAGTGAGATCCCATAGAGTCTCGTAGCGATCAGGCATACGATCCTTCAGCGGACTTAATTCATGGTTGGAGGGAAAGTATTCCTGATACAACATCTGTCCCATGGGTAAGCCAGAAATCCTGTGCATCTCGTGAAGAGCCAAACCCAACTCCCCTTGCCGGGTCAGAAAAGTGTTCGAATCTGAATTATAAAGCTCGAACAAAGCACAGAAATGCCTTGCGCTGACAGGCAAGCCATACATGGTGGCACGAACGGCTGCATATAAACCACAAGTCAAAGCCTGATTATCAAGGATTGGCCGTAAGATCAGCACCTCTGCTCTCTCTCTGCTCTGGATTGCTCTGAAGTGCTCAAAAATGATCCGCCCTCCTTAGAAAATCGATTTCAGGGGGTATTTATGCCCATAGGATGAACAGTGCTCGCGAGACAGCATTTGCTGTCTCGGCGGGCGAGACAGTGTTTGCTGTCTCGCCTAGCGAGACAGTAAATTTGCTGTCTCGCCCAGCGAGACAGTAAAATACTATCAACATTTCTGGCAGTTTTTGATGTAACTGCTTTCCCACGTTTCAAACTCCGTTATTCTGGCAGTTATTCACTTGATTCTCGCCCACGACGTTTCCCACGTTCTTGAACAGTTTGTGGCCACGTGTCGACGGTTGCAAAACAGTTTCTTGAACCACTGATAACTGTCTCGTGTGCGAGACAGTAAATTCTGTCTCGCACGGCGAGACAGTAAATAGCTGTCTCGGCGGGGGCGAGACAGTGAAAACTGTCTCGCCTGGGCGAGACAGTAAAAGTCTGTCTCGCCGGGCGAGACAGTAAAGACTGTCTCGCCAGGTGAGACAGTAAAGACTGTCTCGCCTGTGAGACAGTCTATACTTGTGTTCTTTTGCCTTTTTGGATGATTTCCTCTTGAGCTGTATTTGGATATCTTTTAGCATTTTTTGACGCCTACATATACTGAGGATGGGAATAGAATATCTGATATGGATACAATTATTAATGAGCTTATAAACTATTACAAGAGCTTGCTGGGATTTTCTGGAATCACTTCTGAGCCTGATCTGGAAACTATAGCAAATGGTCCTGTCCTCTCATCAAATCAAAGGGAAATTCTTGGTTCTCCTGTCACTAGAGATGAAATTAAGCATGCGGTTTTTACTATGTCAGATGATAAAAGCCCTGGTCCAGATGGCTTTAGTGCATCTTTTTTCAAAACTGCATGGGATATTATCAAAGATGATATGTGTAAAGCAGTGGGTGAATTCTTTTACACTGGTAAGCTCCTCAATACCTTCAACTCAACCTCTATAACTTTAGTGCCTAAAATCCTCAACGCCAGATATCCATCTGACTATAGGCCTATTTCTTGCTGCAACTGTGTATACAAAATAATATCAAAAATCATTGCCACCAGAATTTAGAAAGTGATTGGTTTTCTGATTGATGATGCACAAAGTGCATTTGTTAAGGGTAGACTTGTTTCTAACAATATCCTCCTAGCCCATGAACTATTAAAGCATTATGACAGGAAGAAACTCTCTCCAAGAGCTGTCCTCAACATTGATTTAAGAAAGGCTTTTGACACTATCAATTGGAGTTTTATCAAGTATATGTTGACAGGTCTGGGTTTCCCTGAAAATTTGATCACATGGGTAATGGAATGCATCTCTACGCCTAAGTTCTCCTTGTCAATTAATGGTTCATTACATGGGTATTTTAAGGGGGCTAGAGGCTTGAGACAAGGGGATCCATTATCTCCTTATTTGTTTGTGCTTGGAATGGAATATCTATCCAGGAAACTCAAAACCCTCAGTACTGAAAGTATGTTCAAGTATCATCCGAAATGTGCAAGGATGGGGATTACACACTTGATTTTCGCTGATGATTTGCTCCTCTTCTGTAGAGCTGACATAGATTCAATTGCTAAAATTAACAACTGTCTGCAGGAATTTAGTAGAGTTTCTGGACTGGAGGCCAACTCTTGTAAAAGCTCTGTTATCATGAGTGGGATTGAAGAAAACACAAAAGAACAAATATGTTCATACTTAAACTTCCCCGAGGGTTCATTACCTATGAGATATTTAGGATTACCCTTAGTTTCAAAGAGGCTCTCTTTTTTGGACTGCTCACCTCTGATTTCAAAGATATCAGACCAGCTCCAAAACTGGCAATCCAGGGGAAAATTATCTTATGCTGGGAGAATCCAACTAATCAAGACTGTTATATTGGGGATTCAAATATATTGGACAAGCAATTATATTTTGCCAATTAAGGTACTGGAGAAAATTGATAAGCTATGTTCTGCATTCTTGTGGGGGAACAAAATCCACCTTGTCTCCTGGGCAGAAGTTTGTAAGGCCAAGAATTTAGGAGGATTGGGTCTATACTCCGCAAAACTGTGGAATTATTCTGCTGCTATCAAAATGATATGGATGATTCATTCTAAAAAGGATCTATTATGGATAAAATGGATACATGGGCACTACTTAAAAAATCAGGATATCTGGCAAGTGCAACCAAAGAGAAATGATTCTTGGATGTGGAGACAAGTTCTAAAGGTGAGGAATATAGCGATATGCAGATTTGGGGATGTGAACAATCTCTTTAGGAGCATTGCTAAATGTCACAATGAAGGTAAAATGAAAATTTCATCTATATACAGTGCTATTTCTCAATTCACAGCTGTTGCTCCCTGGGTGAATACAGTATGGGGAGGCTTACATTACCCCAAGCATTCAATCATCTTATGGCTTGCAGTCCTATCGAAGCTTCTGACCAAAGACAGGCTGTGTAACATGGGTATGTTAGATATTAATCAATGTATACTGTGTGCTGATACTGGTAATTACCTAGAGACCAGGAATCACTTATTTTTTGATTGCCGATACTCTTCTTATGTCTGGAACAAACTGATGGCATGGTTAGAGTTTCCATGGAGGTCTTGTAGTTGGGATCAGGTTTTGAGATGGTACAGCAACAACTTGAAGGGGGTTGGTTTTATGAAGAGGATAAAAAGAATGGTATTTTCCGTGGCTGTTTACTGGATATGGAAGGAGAGAAATATGAGGACTTTTCAACAAAAAAGCCGCAGTCCCGATCAACTGGTCAGAGAGATTAAAATTACATTGCTATTAAAGATACTAAATGAAGATATACCTGAACACTTGAGAGATAAAATAGGAAAATTGTAATTAGTTTGTGGTTTTTTCTATTTTTGGTTGCCAGAGATTCTTTACTCTGGTAGTTCTTTGTAGCTCTCTCATTTCAAAATTTGGTGATGAATATAAATATTTTTCATTGACCAAAAAAAAAATGTTAAGAAATTCCATTGATGAAAAAGATCTTTAATATTTATATCCACGTACTAGTCAAACTGAACCAGAAGTTCACATGATAATCTGCTAAGAAAAGAGTGATGATCTGCTAAGAAAAGAGTGACTAAGCCACATATTCATGTTGAATATATCATTGATGATTTGGTATGCCAGAAGCATATTGTGCCAGAAGCATATAAAACATATTAGTGTAAAAGATAAAAGTCCGCGGCAAACTAAATTATATATATAGAAAGACAATCACTCTCATAACCTCCAGAAGAGGTTCATCCTGAAGATGTAATCTTCAGTAAATTGCACGTGCACTTGATAATCACAATACTGGAGATGCGGAACGGCCAAATCCAATTGTTAAGGGAAATGATGAGGATTTGGTTGACATAAAATAATAATTAAAGTGGCCACGAATTTGTAAAAAAGGAGAAATATATAATAGAAATATAAAAGTTGTCGACAACATAGTTACCTCTATAGTTGCTCTTACTATCTTTGAAAATAATCTGGATCCAGAACCTAAGTCGGTAATAGAGTGCTTGAAGCACTCAGACTAGGTGAGATGGAAAATGACAATTGAGGCTGAGCTGAACTCACTAAAGAATTTTGAACCTGTAGTCAATATATCCATGTAGGATATAAATGAGTCTTCATAAGAAAAATAAATGAGAATTGTAAGGTGGTGAGATATAAAGCGAGATTCATAGCTCAATGGGTTCACGCAGAGACCCAACATCGATTTAGATGTAAAATATTCTCCTATTAGTGATTGTATTACGTTCCGCAAGTTAATACCTATGGCAGAAACTATGAATTTATATATGCAGTATATGTACATCATGACCATATTTTTATATGAGTCATTAGACGCTAATATTTTTATATGAAAGTCCCTGATGGACTTAAAATTCCTGAATTAAGAGAAAACAAGAATCGCAACATATATAGCATTAAATTATAAAGGTCGTTATACGACTTGAAACAGGCGGATAGAACGTGGTATAACCGACTGAGTAAGTTCCTCCTGAAGAGGAGATATGCAAATAATGATGTATGCCCTTATGTGTTTATAAAGAAATTTGAAAATGGCTTATGTATTATACCAGTCTATATTAATGATATAAATGTTATTGGAACGCACAAGGAGCTTACAGAAGCTAGCTCATGCCTAAGATGGAGTTTGAAATGAAAGACTTGGGAAAAACCAAGTTTTGTCTCGGCCTGCAGATCGAGCATTTTCCCAGAAAGAATTTTTCTACACCAGTCAACCTATGTGAAAAAGGTTTTGGAAAGATTTTATATGGATAAATCTCATCCACTTAGCACACCAATATTCGTCTAGTCCCTCGAAGTGGATAAAGACCCATTTAGACCCAAAGAAGATAATGAAGAAATGTTAGGGCCATAAGTTCCCTATCTGAGCACCATTGGAGCACTTCTTTATCTCGCAAATTGCACCAGACTTGATATTGCATTTGCGGTGAACTTGCTAGCAAGGTATAGTGCTTATCCTACAAGGATGCAATGGAATATCATTAAACATTTCCTTCGCTATCTTCAAGGTACAAAAGATCTTGGACTATTCTATAAAAGAAACCAAGATATGATATTGGTGGGCTATTAGGACACTGGCTACATGTCTGATCCCCATAACGCCAGATTCTAAACTGGTTATGTTTTTCTCTGTGGTGATACTGTTGTTTCTTAGAGGTCTGTTAAGCAGACCATGGTGACTACTTCTAACCACTCAGAGATTATCACTTTATATGAGACCTCACGAGAATGTGTATGATTAAGATCGTTGATACGACATATTTGTGGCTTGTGTGGTCTAGCGAAAGATAATATTCCCCCCACTATCCTTTATGAAGACAATGCAGCTTGTGTTGTACAAATGAGCAGTGGATATGTAAAAGGAACCATGACAAAATATATTACCCCAAAATTCTTTTATCCACATGAGCTCCAAAAGAATGGCGAAATCACCATCGAAAAAGTTCGCTCAAGTAACAATCTTGCAGATTTGTTCACTAAATCTCTGCCTACATCAACTTATGAGAAATATGTTCACAATATGCATAGACTTGAAAGACTATCTTCTTCAGGGGGAGCAAATTCTTAAAGAACAATCCTGAAGATTGGACCCTGAAGGTCTATTATCATAATTTGCCCCTTTTGGTTAAGTTTTGTCCCACTGGGTTTTTCTTAGCATAGACTCAGAAGATTGTTATCATCAGGGGGAGCGAATTTTCAACGCAATCCCGAAGATTGTGCCTTGAAGGACTATAATTGTACTCTTTTTTTTCTTTTGCTAAGTTTTGTCCCACATGGTTTTTTTAGCTAAAGGTTTTTAATGAGGCAATTAATGCAACACAAGTTTGGATCCCGAAGATCTATAGTTGTACTTTTTTTCCCTTTGCTAAGTTTTGTCCAACATGGTTTTCTTAGTTAAAGGTTTTTAATGAGGCAACTAATGCAACAAGAATCTACTAATATCGTGTACTCTTTTCCTCGACTAGTTTTTATCCCATTGGGTTTTTCTAGCGAGGTTTTTAACGAGGCATTGACATTTCGAAGTAATGTCCAAGGGGGGGTGTTGAAATCTAAAAGATATTTTGTTGATATCTAAAAGATATTTTGTTGATATCTAAAAGACAAAATGTATGTGGATATTACTTTGTATGTGGACTATTAATTTCATGTTCTTTTGTATTCCATCATGTATCTATAAATTGTACGATGTATGGAAATGGAAATGGTGAATAAAAAGATTACAATTTCTCTTCTTCTCTTGTTTTTTGTCTCTTGTTTCATTTCTTTAGTATATTACAACAGCTCTTAATTATTTGATGACTTGTACGCGGCATCATTTGTCAGGAGCGTGATTTAGGTTGAGAAAATAACGCGTCAGAGTAAGAGTAATATTTGAATTAGTTCATTAAATCCCAAATCTTCTTGTATTGTATTAATCCAAAAAAGGTTTTAGTGCATTATTAATATAATCTGTCGTAGACTCTGGCTCTGTTTGGCAAAACTAGCTAAAAACTGCGAGATTATAGCTGAAAGCTGTTAAGCTAGCTGAAAGCTGTGAAATTATAGGTAAAAGCAGATAGCTGTATAGCTAGCTGATTGAAGTAAAGCTGTTTGGCAAAAGTAGTTGTACAACTAGCTTAAATTTGTTAAATGACTAAAAAGGACATGCAATATTATTGATATAAAATTAGAATTATTCAACACTCATTTATTTATTTATTTTTTTGAAGGAATTTATTTATTTATTTACCTACTTATTAATTTCTTTCTTTCTTTTCTTATTTTATATATTTTCTTATATGGGTAAGGAAAAGGGCTAGGTTTTTTTGGGTGGGGTAGTAGCTTTCATTTGCCCTAATTATTAGGGGGTAAAAACGGTAGAAAAAAATTGATAGTATCTTGCTCAAAAAAATTTGATAGTATATAAAGATCCTTCTCAAAGACAAACGCTACTTGAGATAGCTTTCCAAAAGCTACTTGCAAAAGACACAATCTCCAAAATAATATCCTCCTATTTTTTTGTCACCAAATAGCTCTACTAGCTTATTGATCAAGTTAATAAGACACAATCTCTTAGATAAGACACAATCTTTTATTGCCAAACGATGTCTTGCTCCTTAAAATTGCATGCCTTTAAAACTTGAGGTGGGCATGCATTTGTTGATCTTTCTCAAGATATGAACAAGAATCTTGGCTTGAATCAAGCATCTACATCCAAGAATAATATGTTAGATCTAAAATTTAAGATCTGAATCTTAAAGCCATGATTAATTCAAAGAGATTAACAAGAATCAAAAGGAGCGGAAGCATATACCTGAATCCATTGAGGAAAACTTGATTAGGGTTTTGATGATCTTCTAATCTTAGGGTTTCTCCCTTATGGATCTCTTTAGATGGGGATAAGAGAATGAGAGTGGCTAACCCTAGATTAGGGACCATAACCCCATATATATAGGTGTTATACATTTGTAATTTGGCCCCTTATCAAATTATAATTACAACCTGGTATCTGCACATATAACCCCATGATTTATTTAAATACCTATTAACCCAAATTAATTGATCACTTTAGTGGGTTATCCTGAAGGATAGCAATACACACAGATTAATCATATGTGCCCACAAATAGATTTAATTAGATTTAAATCCAACAATCTCCCACTTGGGCACCATATGACTCCTTAAGGTGTGTATAACCTTATAAGCTCAAAATTGCTATCACTGAAAATGTATTTCCGAATAATCTCGTCCATTGACTATATCAATATAGGATCAAAGCGGCCTTCGTCACATTTATCGTGACTCGACCCATTAATGGTCTCATATACCAATACAATCAAACGATATAGATCAATCATGGATGTGCAGCATGAAAATTACATGCAATGTGATCAGTACGTGTCTATTTTTAACTGGTCCTACTTTAGTGAGGTCAAAACCAAACATAATGTAACAGAGTGTCTTAACTGAATACTTTAATTCTGATCAGACAATACAACCAAACATAAAGCACCAAAAATTACAAACTCCCACTAAATCATGATATCATCGAATATCACCACACCCATATGAGCGGTGTGCTCATGAAAGACCTTGGGTGGTAATCCCTTAGTAAGAGGATCTGTTATCATGGAGTTTGTCTAAATGTGCTCTATGGATATCTGTCCACTCTGTACCCTTTCTTTCACAACCAGGAACTTAATGTTAATATATTTTGACTTAGTTGAGGTCCTGTTGTTATTAGAATATATTACTGTAGATTTATTATCACAATATAACCTTAGTGGTCTTTCCATATTTTCCAAAATACGTAGTCCAGTGATAAAATT